ATTATGTCTCCCCCCGACCCCCCCCCCAAAGGCTACGCCACATCCGTCGACCCAAAATGGAGACCCCCATTTGGGGTTCAAATGCGTACCAAAACCTATGTAAAATCTATGATTCGGGACTTTGGGCCCTCTGGGAGGCCCAGTAGGGCCTCAAGACGGCTCCATATGGCTTCAAGACGGGCGAAGACGGCTCTAAGACGGTCCATGATGGCCCCAAGAGGGCAGAAACAAACTCTTAAGACGTCTCAGGAGGGCCCTAAGACGACCCCCAAGAGTGCCTCCAGAAGCCAAAATCATTAATAAGTTTTTAAACGATTTTAGCGTTCTCGCCTTTCTCATCTCTCAGAGGCCCATGGCCGCCCAGGCAGCCACCAAAATCGTCCCAAACATGCACAAGAAGCCACCCGAAGGGCACCCAAACGGCCCAGGGGGGCCCCAAGACGGCCCAAGGGGACCCCCAAGGCGGTCAACAAAAAAACCCTGAGACGGCCCAAGAGCCAAGAGGACCCCAAGAGAACCCCAAGGCGGCCGCGAGAGGCCCCCAAGACCCAAAACGGCCTCCGAAGGGGCGGAACGGCGCAAAAGCGCCCCAAGACGCCCCAAGACTCCAAGACGCCCCCAAGAGGCTCGGAGAGGCCCCCAAGAGGCCCCCAAGGGGCTCCCCAAAAAACCCAAGAGGCCTCCAAGAAACCCCCAAGAAGCCTCCAAGAGGCCTCAAAGAAGCCCCCACAAGGCCACACAACGACTGGAGTGTAATGTTATTTTTCTCCCCCTGGGCGAACTGCGGCGCAGCGCCAGCCAGGTGGAAGTTGGTCACGGCGGCGCCCATGATTAGAGCCGGCGCCGGAAGGGAAGATGGGGGGGGAGTGTGAAAAGGAGGGAGCGGAGAGGCCCCAGAGAAGCCCCCAAGAGGCCCAACGAAGCTCCCAAGAGGCCTCCAGGAGGCCCCCAGGTGGCTCCCAAGAGGCCCCGCGACGACGTCACTGCACGCGCTCCGGACGTGCACCCCGCGAAACGAAAGGAATGTCAAAGGGCGACCCTCGGAATCTCGGGTACGGAAACCTATAGAACGTCAGAGAACGGCATCTCCAATGCCGAATTCGGCTACTCCCGGGGATCTGACTACGGAAACCACTAGCACTTCGTTTACATTAACATTCACTTCGGAGCCCCAAGAAGCTGAGATACCTCCTCACGAGCTCCCAGAGATCCTACGATTTCGTGGACCCCCTGAAGACTCAGAAGCTCCTCCGTCCATAGCAAGTTTGGCAAGGGCCGAATCTTCGAGCCCAGCGCTGAGCGATTCTCATCAACTTCCGCATCCGCGCGAGCCTCAACCGCGAGGCGAAATGTCGCAAAGCAGAGACCCAGGAGGTCAGGGTCAAGGACGAGGAGATGAACGAGTGGGAAGCTCTACCTGTCGATCCAGCCAGCATTCCAGCGGGCGACAGATCGCAGCGGACGCTCTCAGCAACCCAGGGACGTGCGCGACTACTGCCTGCCGGGCGGCTCCCGGGGAAGTTTGTTCGCCACGCTGGGGCGGGCGGGGAGAACTACTTGATGCTCGAGATCGAGGAGAACGCGAAGAGGGACTCGGAGCTGTTCCTGGACGAGCACGCGCCGCAGTGGGAGATGTGGGCGGCGAAGCTAGATCAAGCCTGGACCTGCGCGACGAGATGGGGCAAAGTAATCTGCAATACCTTCCTGAATACCATCGAGAAGCAGGGCTGGGAGCCGGAATGGGACTTCCTGCGCCGCTCTTCCCGACGAAGTTCCCGACCTGGAAGCCAGGCGAGAAGCCCAGCGTCAAGCATGGGAAGGTTCCAGCCCCCAAGAAGACCTAGAGCAAGACCGCAGCAGTCTCCCAGCATAACAAGAAGATTCGCGAAAGCATCGAGATCGCAAGGTCCGGCTTCTTGACGAAGTACCAAGACGTGAATGTCTTTGCGGGGGCCGGCGCGGAGGAGATCTACAGGCTGCGCAGCATGTTCACGATCGCGAACCACCTCAGACCTCTTTCCAAACTCTACGAACTGACCCAGACTGGCAAGAAGGAGGAGATCTGCGACCGACTGGTAGCCTACATCCCGCAGCAGCTGGGCGACGCCAAGCCGACGGTCAAGGTCAAGAAGGAGCAAGGGGCGACGGTCAAGAAGCAGGAGATAAAGCCCTACATTGTCGGCGGCGCGATAGAGAGCCACTTCGCACAAGGCTGCGTGGCTCCGGAGTGTCGCGCGCAGCGAGGGATATCCAAGAATGAGCCTATCATGAAGGTCAACCCCTACGGCTGGTGCCGCAAGATGTGCGCGGAGGAGATCACGAAGGCGGGGTAGGTGAAGTTCGGGCGGAGCGAGTTCGTTGGAGTCGAGATGACAGCCGGCTTTCATGGGACACCAGCGCCTAGCCATCTGGTCTGCGACGCACAGTTTCAAGACCGCCTTGTTCGGAGCCATGCGCGCCCTCTCCACCTTCGGCCGCCTGGCCATGGTCGAAGCCTGCGCACCTAAGGACTCCAACCTCAGCCAGATCTGCGAGCAGAAGGGTTTGGAGCTCGCGCGGCTCGGACTGCATATCGACTTCGACCTCAGCAAGACGCAGGCCAACCATAGGGCCAAGTACATGCTCGACGAGAAGCGACTGGGACTACTTGTCAGCACTCGACCCTGCGGACCGTGGTCAATCATCCAGAACGTCAACCAGCGCGCTGACCAGCAGAAGGAGAACCTTCGGAAGGAGCGCCTGAAGAGCCAGCGGATCTTCGAGAACAGCACGCGTCTCATCGAGCACCAGGTCAACAACCTCAAGGGCTCGTTCATCGCCGAGCAGCCGCATAACAGCCGCTCTTGGCAGGAAACCTGCTGGAAGGATCTGCGCAAGCTGCTACCCTACAAGGTCATCGTGGACGGCTGCGCCTGTGGACTACGAGCCCCCGACACCGTGGAGCTCATGGAGAAGCGCTGGAAGTTCCTCGCCAACAACAAGCACATCTGGGCAGTCCCCCAACCACTTCGAAGTCGCGGAGGACTCTATCATGAAGAAAATGAAGGAAGCAGCCGAACCGAAGCCTCAGGAAGATATGCGAAAGTGCTCTGCTGAAGAATCCGGAGGGCGCTTGCGCGCAAAGCTAACCAGAGCTACTTCGAAGAGGAGGTCTTGAACTGCCACTGCGTGGCGGCCACAAAGCAGCCCCCCGCGGAGCCGACCGCAGAGTCGGCAGAGGAGCTGCTGCCACCTAAGGTCGGGAAGGACTCCCTCGGCCTAACGAAGGACGCGATCAAGAGGTTGGAGAGCTACGTGGGACTGGCCCACACCAATCTGGGACATGTTCCACGCGCGAATCTCACTCGCTATCTTCGAGATCGAGGTGCCCGACCTGAGGTGCTACGAATCGCTCGCAACTTCAAGTGCGACATCTGCGATGCTCACCGACCTCCGACGAAGCGGCCACCAGCATCATCAGAATTCTGCAGACGGGCCACCAAGTTCTATTTGACGCCTTCTCTTGGATTCGTCGCAGCACAAACACCAACGCGATGGTGCTCGCGGTTCTGGGCGCGGGTTCCGACATTCTCTACGTGCGTTTGTTCGACGAGAAGAAGATACCAGAATAACCGCGTCAAGTGCGAGCTGGAGACCCACGACGCATTTTCGCCTCCAAACGGTTCCCATGGGATGGGGCGCCTGACGGCAATGCGCTACGACCCAGCTGGCAGCGCAGTCTCCGACGAGTTCAGGGAGTGGGTCGAGAGCCAGGGCATCCACTGCCTCCCGTGCGCTGCTGACGCACGCTGGCAGATCGGGAAGATCGAGCGCGCCATCGAAGCCTTCCAGGAAGCCATCGACGCCTTCGACGAGATGATCTCTACCGACGCGTCCACCAGCGAGATGTTCGGCCTCCAGACGGCAGCCCGCAACGACCTCGCGAGGATCGACGGTTTCAGCCCGCTTCAGCTCTACGCCAGACGGACGCCTACTGGGACAACGGCTAATCTTGATGACGAGCCGAACAACCGACCGCTCATCAGCGCCGAGCTACATGACAGCACGTTCGCCAGAGATGCTCGAATACGCCGACAATCCCGACTGGCCCACATCCAGACCGAGAACTCCGACAGAGCCAGGAAGGGCAGAGGCGACGACTGTCGTCGTCTACCGGGGGCTCCCACCTGGAGCCTGGAAAAAGAATGGACAACCGCGATCAAGGCCCGGGCGAGGACGCCAGTGCGGACCTGGGCGAGTATTATGTCACGAACCCGCTAGCTCTGGACACCGACCTGGTCTACCTGGCGCAGTCGTGAACATCGTCCTGGCAGGGCGGCTCCACCGAGTTGCACCCGAAAAGCTACGACCAGCTACGCCTTCTGAAGAAGCTACGGACGCGCTCCGATCTCGGAGCGAGCAGCCAGGCACCTAGACGTTCGGGGAGGTACAGAAGCAGTTCGACACCAACGAAGTGATCGCCCTCACCAACGAGCCACCAACCACCAGTGACGACCTCGCCTACGACGACGGGGAATCTACAAGCGCTCGAACCTTTGAGCACAACCCAAGTGGACCCTGGGCCGTGAATGAAGACGACGACCGACCTCTACCATCTCAGAGCTGCGCACCTGGAGGCGGAGGAGGAGCAGCACCCTCATCAGCTTCACGACCAGCGCCACCACCACCACCAGCACCGCAGGACCTACGAGACGGTTGCGACGGAAGCAGAATCCGTGGACGCTGGAAGAGCCGCAGGAGCCACTCATACAAGAAGTACCACTCGACCACCACCTGGAATCGAATCACCTGCTGAATGACCACGTGCAGAAGAAGCTGAAGTCCCAGCCGAAGCGGAAGAGGAAGCTGTTCAGATCGACCCGGAGGACGATGACATGGAGGATCATGCCTCGCAGAAGCCCTTCCCGGACGGCTCAGAAGCTGGAGGACTGGCGGCAGACCCTGAATCCGAAGAAGCTCGATCAGAACTACCTCACGAACGGACCTTAAACACCGACGAGATGACACCTCCCGTCAGAACGTTCAGGATCAGCACTTCAGGAGGACTCCGCCTACTACTTGCATGACGGTAACTTCTACAGCGGTTACGCCTGCAGCATCCAGCAGTACGACGAGACCAAGGAGGAGGACGAGCTGATCGCGTTGGAGATCCCAGTTAACAGCGAGCACGAATTCATGAACTACTTCGAGGACCCGAGCAACTTCTTGGCTTCGCAGGCTCGCAAGGGCCGGGTGGAGGTCTCATGCAAGAAGGCAACGCCAGAAGAGAAGCAGATGCTACTTGAAGCCCAGCAGAAGGAGGGCACCTCCGTTCTCAGCACCATGGCCGCAAGGATCCTCAGCCGCAAAAGCATAGATCCAGCGCGTCTTCTACGCTGTCGTTTCGTGCCCACCTGGAAGAAGGACGAACATGGTAATGTTATACGAGGCAAAGCTCGACTTGTGGTACTTGATTTCAGCGATCCTGACCTACTACATCTACGTACAGAATCACCTGTTGCGTCTCGACGTGGTCAACAACTTCTACTAGCTATGGCCGCCCAGCACAAGTGGCTATTGGAAAAGGCCGACGCAGTGACAGCATTTCTTCAAGGCGAGACCGACGAGGAGAAGCGGAAGATCCACGCCGACCCGCCCAAGGATGTCCGCCAAGCCTTCGGCGTGAAGGAGGACGAGGCACTGCAGTTTCAAGCCGATGTACGGGTTCGTGCACGCACCTCGGAAGAGCTGGCTACATGTCAAAGAGACGCTCAACGAGCTCAAGCTTGAGGCCATCCAGTGCGAGCCCTGCGTCTGGGTCATCAGGGACGACGACGGCAAGCTGATCGGCATGGTCATTATACACGTAGACGACATGATGATCGCCGAAGACCACACTAACAAGTTCTTCCTGCAGGACCGGAAGGAGATTCAACAAGCTTTCGAATGGACGCCCTGGGAGAGCAAGGCCTTCGTTCAATGTGGAGTCAGCATCCGACAGAACGACGATTTCACGTGCAGCCTCGCCCAAGACACCTACAGCATGAACGTGGCGCCGATTCCTGTCAAGCGCGGCAGGAAGCCTACAGATGGAGTTTCCGATCGAGAACGATTTGGAGAAAGCGGGCGTCTGGGCACATTAGGCTGGAGGGCGCAGCAGTCAGCTCCCTGGCTCAGCTCCGAAGTGTCACTAATACAAGCCGAGATTCCAACCGCGACGGTCTCCACGATGCAGAAGATCAACCAGATCATCCGCACCACGAACGACACCGCTGACGTCACCATGGTCATAACTGCAATCGAGAAGCTGGCAGTTGTCGGCTGGGGCGACGCCGCATGGGCAGCCCGGATCACAGGAGAATCCCAAGGAGGCGAGATGATCGTGCTGGCACCGCTATCGTTTCTAGATGGATATACCGAGACAGTGGCGCCGATTTCCTGGAGATCATGCAAGTTGCCACGCGTTGCCAGAAACAGTGCGAGTGCCGAGGTGCAGATGATGACGGAGACGCTCGACGAGATCAGCTACGTGCGACTTTTCATCTACGAGCTAGAGTGCGGCTCCGTGGACTACACCAACAAGCAGGCCGTGAACGACGCCATCTCAACCTGCCCTGGAGTCCTGGTCACAGACGGGAAGTCTGGGCACGACGCCATCGAGAAGAGCGAGTGTGCTGGACTAGGTCTTCGAGACAAGAGGACCAGTATCGAGTGCCTGGGCATCTGGCAGCAAAGGCAGCAAACGGGGCTCCAAATTCGCTGGGTTCACAGCGACGCGATGCTGGCCGCCGGGCTTACGAAGGACCGCGCTGCCAAGGCCCTGCTGGAGTTCTTCAGAAGTGGGCAGCGCTGGCGGTTAGTGGACCATCCTCTGCATCGGTCAACACGCAAACGCAAGTCCGAGGGCATCGACAAGCTAGACCACGGCACACCGCTGGATCCCGACATTGCCCTGAAAGCCCTGGTGTACTTCTCACGCGACGACGAGTCCCAGCAGGCTGGACCTGCCGGACATGAGGCCCTCTGGGGCCGGGTGAAGCCTACCACACGTTCCGTGCTTTCTGTGAACTCAGAAGGTAAGGCCAGGCTTCGATGCCGTAACATCGAACTTTAACTTTTGGGCATGCAACTCACAGCCCAGAGTCTACCTCCCTGTGCCTACTTACGACAGATGGCCCACAGAGGCCCAGTGTGTTAGACATTTCAAGACATGGCTCCGAAGAAGCCCAGTACATACTTCCCATAACTCATGTAAGTCCGCGTTCCCTGGCGTCGCCAGTTCCCCTTTTTTGGCCTCCGCAGTTGCAGCCTAGCCGAGATAATCGTCTCTCTGCTCTTTTCCAAGAAAAGGCCCGACGAGGTCTATCCCAAGAAGGCCCGAAGAGGCCTATCATGTTTCAACATAATGGTCCGTGCCGACACCATTCTGGCTCAAGCCTTTGTATAGCAGCTCGAGGCTGCCAGGCAACTGACTTGCGGTCTGAACCGCAGCACAGAGAACTGGCCCGCTGAGAAAACGGGTTCCTGTGCCGTGTCATCGCGTGTCCAGCGACGCGCTCCCCCACTGCCACTGCCATCACATCGTTAGAGGAGATTCCAAACGAGATAGAGATAACGAGCACTACAACAGTCAGGAGATCGAGGAGGTCAGTATTCAGTGCTATCGGCAGTGGTTTAAGCGGGACCATTGTACCCTTCTGGTCACGTCACGATTCGCGCCAGCGCCGTGTGGGAATGAGCCATTTCTGAGCCTTACTCCCCCTCCCCCCCCACCCAGCCCCTCCCGAGGAGGGCAGTGGAGGTCGGAGAGAACAATGGAGGAACGGGAGGCTGTCCGCAAGTTCCCCCCGCGCGGCAGGCGACAGCGTCTGGCCGCCCCGTGGTGTCTGCTGCGGCTGCCAGGTCTGCGCTCCAAGCTCCGGCTCGGGCTGAAAGCTCTCATGTCGAGCGATCTCGGGCGCTTGGCGCGAGCGGCCCTCGATCGTGCATAATCATGCGGCGCGCTGGCGGGTAGGGGCAGAGGGAGGGAGGATAACGAAGTCCGAAGGGAGAAATCGCGGGAGGCGGGAGGGGAAGGACGTGGAGGAGAGGGGTCCGAATATCGAAGGAGAGGATGAGACTGGATTTGACTGAGCGGCCCCCGCGCTCCCCGACGGTCGGCAACTGCTGTCCCCCCAAACGTGCAGCGGATTGGCAACGAAGAGCGGCTCTCTCAGCGAGCGCGCCGGACTGTGCACAAGGGCCTAGGTGAGGGCACCCCACATGGGGTCAGAGCAGATGGGGATGGAGGATCGACGTCGGGGAGGACAGAACCCGGGCCCCAGGTCGCGCCACATCGTCGATGCAGCGGCGATGCGGCGCGATCCTCCGACCCCACTGTGCTCGGCCAGTTGGGCGGCCTGGGGCGACCGCGCCTCGGCCACTCGCCGAGGAGAACTCTCCAGACGAGCTACGCCCCCAGGCGGGCTGTCGAGACACGACTGCGCTTCTCTGCGCCCTCCTCAACGCTGTCCCGCTTGCGCTTTCCGCCAGCGCCCCCGCCCCCGCTGGCGCAGCCGCCCTCCGCGCCCCCTGCCCCGCTGCGCCAGATCAGGCCGCACGACGCGGCCTCCCCAGGCGCCGCAAGGCGCGCGTACTTTGAGGCTCAGGTCCCCCTAGACCAGGGCATTGCCAACCAGGACATTGCAAAATCCATTTGAAAACGAAGAATGCGGCAAACCACGGCTGCAGCTTTCTCGGGCGCGCCGATGTCCTGGTTTGGCCATGTCCCCGCTTTCGGGGTCCTGAGAAGCGAACTCGTCCAGCATGCCGGTCATCGCGCGGGTGGCCTCCTCCTGGTGCCGCTCGGCCGAGGAGCCCGCGGAGATGCCCCCCTTCTTGGCGTGGAACTTGCCAACCAGTGAGCACCGGTCTTTGAGGGCCGCGTATCTGAGGAAGCGCAGCGTGACCCCATCGCAGTGCCAATCCGCCACGGTGCCGCAGGCACGCGGAATACCCTCAGGCCGCTCAGGGAAAGGGCTGAACTCGGCCCAGACTGGGCTCGGACCCGGCAGAACTCGGACCCCAGGTTCCCACTGGAGCGCGGCGCTCGGGTCCGAATTCGGTCGGGTCCGAGTTCGGTCTGAGTCTGAGTTCGGTCCTTGCCTCAACGTCTTCAGTATCGAATGTGAACGATTTGAAGGGCACGGGGCCCCAGTTCTGGGCGCTCTCGAGAGCGGCTCGCATGACTTGTCTCTAGGGCGCGGGAGCGCGTCTGGGATTCACTATTATCTTGCACTGCTGTGTTCAAAAACTCCGACCCCCTTCATTTCCAACGTCCGCCGTCGTCGTCGTCGTCGTCGTCATCGTCGTCGTCAGTCGTCGTCGTCGTCGTCGTCGGCGGCGGCGGCGGCGGCGGCGGCGTCGGCGTCGGCGTCGGCGTCCGCCTCTCTGACGATCTCGGACCTCCCTGACCCCAGGCCCCGCATTCAGGCCCCGAAAGGAGCCGAAAGGCCCGAGGAGACCCCGCGAGATAGTACCAGAATGGCGCCCAAATGCTCCCCCTCCTCGTCGTCGTCCTCTCCGTGCAAGAGCCCGAGCATGCGTACACTTGGAGGGGTGCAAGTTCCCCCCGCTTCGAGCCCGCAGGGGCATTTGGGAGCCCTCGGCGGGCGCCCTTGCCCCTCTTCGAGCCGGCAAGAGCCCTCGGTGGAAGCCCTCGGGAGCTCCCGCTCAGGGGGAACCCTCGGAACCCACTCGGCGGGGGCTGTGTGACGGGGCTGTGTGACACCGTATTGGCCATGACTGCCGCTCCAGTACAGAGCCCTGCTGACGCGAACAGAATGGACGGCGGAAGCTTTGCTCAGCGCGTCGCGGCGGCAGCCGCGGCATGCAAGCGGATAGCGTGTCGCTCCGCTCCGCGAGGTGGGAGGCTGGGAAAGGCTTGGAACTTGGACGCTTGAGGAGTGGATCGTGAATAGCGTGTCGCGCCGCAGCGCGTTCGGCCAGAACTGGCAGCGCGACACGCTAAGCCAAAGTTCCATCCTGGGGCTCCCTCGGGGACCTCTTGGGCCGTCTTGGAAGCCCTGGGAGCCAGAGGCCAACATCATCTAAATTCGCCGGTCCACCAGGCCAGAGGCGCGCAAAAATCTCTCCCCTAACCACAAATACCCCAGGCGGACACCGGCCAACTCCCGGGCAACTCCCGGGCGGCTGGCGTCACGGATGTCAGAACTCCCAGGGGCCTGCCTTCGGGGCCCTCAAGCTCGGCCCACGAGTGCCCCAAGGGACCCCAGGCGAGCTCTGGGAGGGGCCAAGAATCGGGATCAATAGGTGGCTGGCCTCAAGATGGCTCGAGAACGATCCCAAGAGGCCTCAAGATGGCCCCAAGATGGTCCCGGACAGGCCCAAGAGAGCTCCCAAGAGGCCAAATACTTTTGATTATCGCTGTTTATTTGAAAGGATTTTGGCGTCAGCGTCTTTTTCGGGATTCCGACCGCCCAGGACGGCCCAAGAGGCTCCCAAGATCGCCCCAAGTCAAACCCAGAGGCTCCAAGGACGGCCCCTAAACAGCCCAAAAGGGCCCCAAGACGGCCCAAGAGGCCTCACAACAGGGCGCCAGAGGCTCCCAAGAGGGCCCAAAAAGAGGCAATCCGAACTGACATGTCGACCCCTCTCCCGGAAGATGGCCCCCGAGACCGCGAGGCCCGCAGAAGGCCCCCAGAGGCGCAAAAAACTCCCCCAAGAGGCCCCAATTTGAGAGGCCCCCAAAATACTGCCAAGGGGACGCCGAGAGGCCTCCCCCCAAGAAGCCTCCAACAGAAATGCCTTGTCCACGGCACAGCTTGGCCCCAAGAATGCCACAAAAAGCAATCGAGAAGCATCATCCTCATCCTTCCATGTCCCTCCTCCTCATCATCATCCTCCATTCCTCTTCCTAAGCATGATCGAGCCACGAACCCGAAAAGGAATTTAGAAACACGAAGCGTGGCTACGTTTTCAAGGCACCTGATTGGGCGACAGGTAATTGCAATGCTGAAAAAAACAATCGTGATGTACCATGACAAGGACTGTGCTGCGCAGTGCCGTGCTGAAATTAAATTTGTCATGCCTCAATGACTTGCGTTGTGCTCTATAGTATATAATGGTATGGATCGAGTCGCCCCTGGCATCCGAATCCTGACCGAACTGATCTGGATCTTAAGTTCGAGATGCCTGACCGCATAACTGGCCCAGAACTGGTTGCATTCGAAACGTGAGGGACACTCAATCAGCTGGAGCTCAAGATCCGATTCAGTTCCGAAGCGGGACGAGACAACACGGGGTGCAGGGCGCATGAACGCGCCACAGAATGTGCCAGGGGCGCACTAGGGGATGCGCCAAGGAACCTGGCAAGGGACCCGCCACAGAACGGGCAGGGAAAGCGCCAGGGGACAAGCCAGGGAACGCGACAGAGGACAAGCCAAGGAACGCGCCGAGCGGGAGGGACACACGCCGTCCCCCTTCTGGTGCGTTACGGACCTGTGTTTTCACGTTGGCCCGCTCTGGGGCGTTAAGAACTCACGTGTGTTCACGTGTCCAGGCCACCCAAGGACGGATATCTAACATGCGACCGTGCAAACACAGGAATCCAACACGGGGCAATTGTGCCAGATACCTCCCAGGATGGCCTGGACACGTACAAACACGTAGTTCCAGCTCGGGACCACAGTGTTAGATAGATGGCCTGGACAAGTGAAAACACAAGGTTCCAGCTCGGGCCCACCATGTTAGATATCCCCATGGGTGGCCTGGACACGTGAGAACACGTGGTTCCAGCTCGGGACCACCATGTTAGATACCCCTCTGGTTGGCCTTGGCCACACTGTTAGATACGCCTTTTCGGTGGCCTGGACACGTGAAAACACGTGGCTCAAGCTCGGGATCACCATGTTGGATACACCAAAAGGACATCTGGAAAAAAACGCCGAAGACACTGCGTCAAGTTATTACTCATCTGGTGTCGGTGTATTGATTTTGTCTGGCTCTTGTGGGCCCCCCTCTCTGGGGGGTCCC